CTCAATGGAACACTTCCCGCATAAAATAGTCGAAAAAAAACAGAAACAAGTCATATTAACTCCGGAAATCATCAAAGCACAAATTTGTGTTCAGTAATATTTGAAAAACATTCGGTTTCAATGTCTCTCGAAGACAACTATGTTATAAGCTCAGCACGTAAATATGCATGCAATGGCTTTGCCTTTGGGGTTCTTTGATTACCAACCATCAATTTTACATTTGACAAAGAACAGGCGTTCAATCTCTTTGGTACTGCTCAAAAAACGAAACACTAGTTAGTACTGTTCATAGTGGTCTCAAATTATCACTCTGTGTGCATGAAGGAGTTATTAGTCCAGATGCATGNNNGTTTAATATCTCATTCATGCATTGTATTTCCTATTCGCACTCGGTTGTCACTGTTGTAAATCCATTGTTTTCCATGACTGCGTTGTCCATTTTGCTTGAGATTTTTTGTTCTTAGACTGATCAGGTGTTTCGTCATAAACTGGATGATTTCGTCTTTGAGACTTGTCACATTTTTCGAACATACAAACTAAATAATTACCGTTCGGACGTTATTGGGATACTTCTCTACATTGTCACGTTGCTACATCTCAGGATGCATCTGCAAACGTTATGAACCGTTTCCTTAGTATTTTCTACCGCACGCTTTCACCTCCTTGGTATGCGGTTATTGGAAGCATCGATTTGTGCCAGTGTTTGTAACAATAGTCTATGGATAGTAGTCAGTGATCTTGACGAAACAAAAGAATGGTGCCTGCATTTATGAAGATAATAAATGAAATGATTACAATGACGACGAAGCTAACGCCTGTGTTGAATAACATACTCATAGATATGATATCATTGATCGATGCTCTATGTGACTTGCGTATTAGACTTGCGTGGTAAGCTGAAACTGGCTGTGCAAATGAATGCTTATAAGACAGTTATCCCACTAAATGGTTTTTCGCCATGATCGGATTGTCGGAAAGTTCATTACGATCATACCCAGTTTGGCCCACACGCAATTTCATGGAAACAATCCGCCAACAAAACCATGCATTTGATCACAGGTTGGCCTTCAATCCTCGAATAGAAAACGGCTCAAAACTTATAACCTAAGATATTACACAAAATTCGTTTGATTTTAAAGACCACACATTCTTGCACAATTATGTTCCTCCTCACACGCCGGTACGGTTTCAAATTTTGCATAGTTCTTGTCCCGAGATGCTCATATTTCTCAATGCACAAGTCACACTATTCGGCAGTCCTTGCTACTCTCTGACGTACCTGTATTCAATTGCTTATAAATTAGATCCACTAGTACGCGCATTGAGGCGTCAGTCAGCACAAGGTGGCATCGCTTTGAGTTGATTCGACAATAAAGTAAAGTTTCTCGTTCGAGTTTTACATCTCAAATCACAAGCAAGGAACAAAAAACACTGTGAAGCAATTACTCGTCGGGACATGAACAGACCAGTAACTAAGATGCTTCCATATTTAAATTGGAATAAATAATTGAAGGTCAGTGCTCACGAAGTATACTCCAGTCAGCACTGAACACAATACGGAACACAAATGGGATCTCAAAATTTTTCCCAAATATAAATTATTGGCAGGTCAACACAACGTACCATTAAATTCCGATTCAGCCTGGTTTATCACGAACAACAAAACGGCGAGCGTCAGACAACAGACAAATGTGGTACGCATCTTACTCACAACGACAGAATTCCTGTGGTAAATCTGCTGGTTACCCACGGGTTAAACTGGAAGTGTATGAATATATAGATATAGTATCAAATTATGTGCCCATCGAATCGTATTTTTTCCATTGATACATCTTTTCTCTACGATTGATTTGGTTTCAATTGAGTGGACTCCAAATCCCCTCGGGTGTATCGCCTTCACGGGGCTTTTAAAATCGGTACATTAGTTCACCAGTTGTTTTGCTCATCAATATACATTTTGCAAGATGCTCGACATATTTGACTCGTTTTTGATCGCATTTGTTGCATGATCGCTGTGTCTAGGTTTAGAATTTGAATAAAATTACAATTCCAGTTAAAACATCAAAAATGAAATTTATCGAATCTTTATGAGAACTTCACACTGGCATCGAACGTTACAGCAAATTATGTAATCAAATAATTCACGGCAAAGTTCAATCACGGAAAATATAGAGTTGGGTGTGTCAATGCGTCGTCTAGTTTCGATTTGAACTAAAGGATAGTATTCGCAAAATCAACTTAGAATGAAAGAGAATTCCCCATAGTACTCCCTCTCTAGTCGCAATAGAAACGGCAGCAGTATAATGGACTATTCTAGAGCACATGTCTCACGGGATGCCTCTGCGGTGATCAATCTGGGTTATGTCCATCAGAGTACTACAAGCGTCGTTAGACTGATACGGTGTTAAGTATGTAAATTCCATAGCTTGCCTACTTAGTGAGTACTGAGACGATAAGGTTCCTAGGATTTTCAACTTTCCAATGAAGGTCTTCGATCACAACCCCTTGACCAGGTCCACCTTACCAATGACTACAAGATCCTTCTCGTTTGGACAAGTGGGTCACCAAGTAGACCGGAGTGTGCAATGCCTACAGTTGGATTTTATCTTCTTATTCTCGAAGTTGAGAGCTGGCAATCAGGAATATGAAACACATGGTGAAGTACGGTGAACCTGAAGTCCGACAACAAACATTTAATTAAACTATGCCTAAGAGAAATCGCTTCCTTCACATGTAGTATTCGGACGCATCCAGTATACCTCATTGTCGTTAGTCAGCAGTTCATTCTTTCTGGGGGCACTGAGATCTTTTGAACTCTCATCTGGTGAAATTCCCTGAGTTACCACTCCTCTATTTTTCGCTATGAATGAGAGATAATTGTGTATTTGACTTGTCGATAGGTATGGTCTTTGTTGTAGTTTTCATAAGTTTGATCATGTTGAGGATGAAGATATCCATGGAACAAACGGTTCCAGCGGGCGTGTTAATTGCTTGGGTGACGGAGGATTTTACAATTTTGCATATTCAGTGAGGGTGCAAATGTCGAATTTCAAGCATTTTTCTATAGAGTCGTGTTAAGCATCATGACGGCTTCCAAATGGAAAAGTTATTTTCAATGATTCTGCTCGCGACATGAAAATATCCAGTTCAGGCCTGATCATAAGCGGCGTTTTCCGAATTTATTAGACGTTTCTGCCCGATGATCTCATGGTCAGCATTATAGCCTCGTTAGGTAATTCTGTGGATACCTTATGGCGGTAGACTGAACCAGATAGCACGGTTTGGGGAATATTTCTGTTCATTTTTACATTTTTGTACTACGCCTGAAGGACCGACTTTTCCATATCCGAAGTTTGATTGCTGTTTAAATTAACCAATGGTATCTCCCGACGGCGGGGTTTCGCAGCTTCATTGTGTTTACAATCTTTAACCA